TGCATCTTCAAGACCTAGCTTTGTAGACACGCTCCATCTAATCTTACAGACTTTAATGACATCATCTCCGTAAGTGACTTCACACCCACATGCATTGGGAATCAGTGCGAGCCAAGTTTACCTACTGCACCACTCCCACTAGTGTTTTGTCGTCACACCAGGTCTATTACACTGTTTGCAGACAATTGGCAAAGATTGAAAGAAATTGATACTGATACATATGACCTTTAAGACAGTTGTGGCTTTCCAACACGCCTTGTGTAGATCAACACTGGCGCTGTCAAGGAAGAGTGAAGACGGAATATCGAAAATAGAAGCGAAAGAGATGGATAGATAGAGAGAGAGAGAGAGAGAGAGAGAGAGAGAGAGAGAGAGAGAGAGAGAGAGAGAGAGAGAGAGAGAGAGAGAGAGAGAGAGAGAGGAAGAGAAAGAGATAATTAAAGAGACAGTATTGCAAATATATGTACAGTATTTTAAACAGCATCTAATTGCACTGCAGGCTGATTCCTTTTCTAAAAGATATGGACTAAGGTTATAAAACTTATACTACCATGACACTAATATGAAACTTTCGAAAATGTGTTTCAGATTGAGAATAATGTCCACAGAAGACGTTGTATCTGTCATATTAAATATATTCAAATATGGTTGATCATAACATTACGTGGTGGTTCAACATTGGTAGAATTTTAAGCATTCTATGTTCCCAACGAAGAAGGAAAATAATGATTAAAATTACATACTCCAAAGATAAAAATGGACACCTAAAGACATCATGTTATCAGAAATTGTAAATGCCGAATACTCATTAAAGTTTCAAAAGTTCATCACCAACTTTACACAGGCGTTAAAAGTCCTTCATAGAAAAAAAAACAACAACATTGCAAATTAAAAATTCCTTTAAAAAATCAGTGTCAACTTCACTAAGCTACACTAACCCGCTAGAATCTGAAGCTCCTTATACAAACAATAAAAACGCTCTTCAAAAAATCACTTTCTTTCCTAGGATGGCGTCAAGCTGTCCCAGTGTAGACCACAAGCTTGTAGATTACTGTGGAACATGGCACCACATATGTGTTTCATGGGAGAGAGGAGGAGGGGGAGGGGGAGGGGGGGGGAGGAGGAGGAGTTAGTGCTTTGAACATCTGTAATAATCTACAAAAAAGATAATTAGCGTCCTTTAGTCACAAAAGGACGATCCAGGTGCTACGAGAGGTAAGTATAAATGCCTTAGTGAATGAGGTTACTGTGCATACATGTACATAGCCATTATTCTGAACCTTCACTTGACACACATAAAAAAAAAGCCATGTTGCTTAGATCACAGGCAGCATCACTGTAGCAAAGGTTATAAAGTGCTAGAGAAAACAAAATAAGAAAAGTCACATCCATCAGACTTTCAAAATTATTTTCCCTACAATAATCCTAATCAAGAGAACACTGCACTATCATGATTATTTTTTTTCAGGTGCAAAAAAAAAAAAAAAAAAAAAAAATTGATTGTTAATTAAAGTCTTCTTATCATCAACTTATCATCAAGTCACTGTTCAGAAAAAAGGGCCCCAAGTTACAAGTAGATGCCACACTTAAGCCTGTAGGGTGACATTATGTATAATATAATCTCTTATAAGTAATGCAGGCTGTGGTATTGTTCTCATAACATGCTCATTAAGATAAACAAAAGTGAAGTTCATTACAGGACTGTTTTCAAATTAGCTTCATATTGATGAAAACCATTCATAAAACTGTTTTATTATCCGGACATTAATGCCATCAGATCGAACAATGTTGAACAATATTGAACACTTTGACTATTCCGACGTACGAATTTGATACAGGAAATGCAAGCAGCGAGATTATGAATGTTGGATGTGGCGTCTGCTGTCCACCTCCTAGTGAGCGCAGCGCCACAAATCAACGACACTTGTATAATTGCATTCCAGATTTTCCCTTCATTTTCAAATGATAAAAGTTACGAATGATGTAAACTTTCAAATCACATGAGAGAAAAGGAAACCTTCAATAAAGAAAACACAGTCCATAAATACATTTACGAGAGTATGATAAACATTACCACATCTGCTTCCGAACAAAACATGTATTTCACCACCTGCTGTGGTGTAGGTTAAACACTGAACAGGCTGAGAATGATTTTTATTTCTATTTCCTCCAGAAATATCTCACTAATAAAGCTCTTTTTAAAGTTACAAAAAAAAAAAAAAATGTGATTGTTAATTAAAGTCTTCTTATCATCAACTTATCATCAAGTCACTGTTCAGAAAAAAGGGCCCCAAGTTACAAGTAGATGCCACACTTAAGCCTGTAGGGTGACATTATGTATAATATAATCTCTTATAAGTAATGCAGGCTGTGGTATTGTTCTCATAACATGCTCATTAAGATAAACAAAAGTGAGGTTCATTACAGGACTGTTCTCAAATCAGCTTCATATTGATGAAAACCATTCATAAAACTGTTTTATTATCCGGACATTAATGCCATCAGATCGAACAATGTTGAACAATATTGAACACTTTGACTATTCCGACGTACGAATTTGATACAGGAAATGCAAGCAGCGAGATTATGAATGTTGGATGTGGCGTCTGCTGTCCACCTCCTAGTGAGCGCAGCGCCACAAATCAACGACACTTGTATAATTGCATTCCAGATTTTCCCTTCATTTTCAAATGATAAAAGTTACGAATGATGTAAACTTTCAAATCACATGAGAGAAAAGGAAACCTTCAATAAAGAAAACACAGTCCATAAATACATTTACGAGAGTATGATAAACATTACCACATCTGCTTCCGAACAAAACATGTATTTCACCACCTGCTGTGGTTTAGGTTAAACACTGAACAGGCTGAGAATGATTTTTATTTCTATTTCCTCCCAGAAATATCTCACTAATAAAGCTCTTTTTAAAGTTACTGAATCACATCAGATTTGGCGGTGTCGATCTACACTTCTTGTCTATCCTATTATCCCTACAAAACCCATCTTCTCAGTCGACTCGGTGTCTAACCTAGCATTTTAAGACTCTATGGCGGACACTAACATCAATTATTATAAAAAAAAAAACGAAAAAAAATGGAACAGCCTGATCCCGTGTTCCCCAGACGCCACTTCTCACTAGTTTCCTTCAAGTGTTGTTCAAATACCCTGATTATTTCCAGGTTATATATATATTTTTTCTAGTTAAAAAAAGGAAGCCTCAAAGTGTAGAATTAACCTACTAATACCTATTCAGCATCGAAAGGTTGTTTATTTTTCTTTCTGTGGAGATATTCGAGCGACGTTCTTGTCTATAAAAAAGGATCTCGTGGGTTTTTAGAATTATCTTTAGTATTTTGTAAATAATAAAAATAATAATAAATGATGATAATCATATTAATAATAATAAAAAGGTAAGAAACTAAAGCTCAATCAAATAACATGTGTGCATTTACATTACACAAAATGTACGCCTTTTCTAAACATGAAAACGAATAATCAAGCAAAATCATGTCTACAACGCAAAAGCTTGATAAAAAAAAATCATATTCATTAAAAAAAAAGTTTTTTTGGGGCGAACAGATCAATTTCTCTTTTAATGACTCGACCGTTTCCATCACGTTGGAAAAAAAAATCTAAAAACCCAAGTAACCATCACAAGACGCATTTTTTTCTCATTTTCAAAAGAACATCTTCAAAACTCGTTCTTTTCTTACTCTCTAAAGAACACCTCCACGGAACTACAGTATCGCTAATGTTTGGAAAGACTACCTGTCAAAATGTTAAAGCACTAGCCATTAACTCAATAGAATTGGTCTCTGAAGCCTCTGCGATTGGCGTTCTTCACTTGTTGATTTCTATACATTACAGGAAGGAAGCATTTACCCGAAGAAAATTGTAAATGATCTTTGCTTACGTATAAAACATAATGTACAAAGCCTCGTTCTAGATATATATATATCATTGTATGTGTGTGTGTGTGGGGTGGTGTATGGGCGTGTGTGTGTGGGGGGGGGGTGTATGGGCGTGTGTGTGTGTGTGTGTGGGGTGTGTTTGGGTGTGTGTGTGGGGGGGTGTATGGATGTGTCGGGGGAAGGGGTGTATGGGTGTTTGTTTGTTTCTTTCTTTGTTTGTCTGTTTGTATATATGTGTGTGTGTGTGTGTGTGTGTGTGTGTGTGTGTGTGTGTGTGTGTGTGTGTGTGTGTGTGTGTGTGTGTGTGTGTGTGTGTGTGTGTGTGTGTGTGTGTGTGTGTGTGTGTGTGTGCATGACTCGCATTACTTCACTGATTTTTTTTCCTTAGCCTCTGGTATTTTCACACAAAAAGCACAAAAAGTATACATACATATATATATTCCCTTTGTTTTCTGTCAAGATTCCCCTCTTGGCATATTTCCCTCTGATCGCCAGTGACCGCGAAGTCTCAGACTGTCAGTACGTTTATGCTCAGAAATCACATACCTAATTATTGCTTTTAATGGCTGCCCTTAGCATTTTTTCTCTCTTTATCACAATAGTTCTGAAAGACATGGACAACAGAAAGAAAAAAAAATATATGAAAGAGGAAAGTCAAGGAAACGTGACAACGAAGGCTGTATGAACACTGAACACCTTAAAACGTTATTTAAATTGAACACTGTGACATCAACTAAACGCCCTACTATTACCCTTTTCTCGTTAAGGAAAAGACGTGTGCTACTTGTGGTTCAAATCGAGAATGTAAAAAGGACTACCAAAAGTATATGAATTTCGTTTACCTTATCGATTTTTTTTTAGATAAGGGAGAGGAAAATATATATAAATTAAAGCTTCATATTTATGTAGCACTAAACTGATTGTTTCATATATATATGTATATATATGTACGTATATATGTATATATGTATATATATATATATATATATATATATATATATATATATATATATATATATATATATATATATATATATATATATATATATATATATATATATATATTTATATATAACATTCATCAGACCGTCATGAAAATTTCGTCACTCGCTAAACCGAAACGGGACTAATCAGAACGCGGTTACAAGGGGGCCGGCGGAGAGGCCCCTTCGCACGCTACCCGGCGCCGGTGTGGGTGTCACGTCCCTTGGCCCGGGTCGGACCAGCGGCGCTTGCGAACCGAGTCCTTCTCCTCCTTCTGCGCCTCGTCGCTGGAATGTTGGCGCTCCGTGGTCCTCAGCGCCGCCGGCTTGGTCCACACGCTCGAGCCCGAAGCCCCCCCTAGGAACGGCAGTGAGGCGCTCCCCTTCTTCGCTCGCGGAAGGCCCTGGCCGCTGCTGCTGCTGCTGCTGTTGGCGCTGCCGCCGCTGCTGCTGCTGCCGGAGGCGTCGGAGGGGGATACGCGCGGGGGGGAGGCGGAGGTCGGGGTGGGCGTCGTGGCGGCGGTGGAAGTGGAGACTGAGGTGGATGTGGAGGGGGAGGTAGGTGCTGGGTTGGCTGCTGAGTCGGCACACGTCGATGGCACTTGGTTCGCGGCGGAGGAGGAAGGGGAGCCGGCGATGGCGACGGCGGGCGAGCAGGCAGGGGCGGCGGAGGACGTCGGGGGCGGCGGGGGCAGGGAAGCAGCCGAGTCGGGGGCGGCTGCGGGAGGCTCCTTCTTGGTGAGGGACACGCACACGTCGCCAACCTGCAGCTGCCGCACCTTCAGCTCGTACTTCTTCTGCGTGCGTTCGGGGCAGCACGAGGACCAGCCGCAGTGGAACACGAAGAACGGGTGGTCCAGGGAAGCCTCGACGGAGAC